GGCTCCGCCTCGTCGTGCTCGACGCCTACGATCTGAGCGTCCTGGGCAGGGACCCCGACAGCCCCCGCTACGAGGAGTCCCTGCGGCTGCTGCGGGAGAAAAACACCAACGAGGACCTCAACAGCCCCGCAGGTACACCCGGCACGGCAGGAGCGCGGGCGGAGCAGCTCCCGGGGCTGGCAGCGGGGCTCGGCCGTGTGCCCCAGGGCTGCCAACCTCCTCCTCCTCCCTGCGGTCAGTGCGGCCCTAGGCGGGCACGGGAGATGCTCCCCCTTACCCGTGGGAAGGGTCTGTGTTGTGCTCTGTGCCCCACAGTATCAGAACACGGGGTAGCTGTTGGTGAAGGGGCTGTTGCAGAGCACCGACTTGTGCCCACCGCATCCCATACTGGGGGGGACACCAAGAGTGGAAACGCTGTGCATGCAGTGTGACCAAACCCCCTGAAAACACTAACAAAACACTTCTCGTTTGTCCAAGGACGCTGGAGTTTTGATCCAAGAAAAGCAAAAAAAAATCCTGCAAGTTGTGAGAGTAAACCATCTATTGTAAGCAGATTTACATAAGGCAAATAGAGGAGCTGTGGGAGGTGTATGCACCTGTGCCTAACCTTCTTCTTCATTGTAGGGCTCAAAGAACCTCAGTTTGTAGCATTTAATGGAGGATTTAGCCAAGCCCAGCTGAACTGGTTCGATGAAGTCCTCAAGTTCTCTGATGAAAACCAAGAAAAAGTTGTAGTTATGGGTAGGTGGATATGGGGGATATATCATACAATCACAGAATTGTTTAGGTTGGAAGGGCCCTTAAAGATCATCTAGTTTCAACCCCTATATTTGAAGGGGGTATATATTCCCGAGGATATATACCGGGAACAGCTGTATGTGAGTTGAGGAAAACATGTAGCAGCTTTGTAGCTCCCCTGAGATACAGATGTAACCTGTGAAGGAGCAGGACAGACCATGTCCATACTGGGGGGAGCTTTCTGCACATGGTTGGCTGAGTTTCACAGCAATGAGACAGACTTTGTTACAGTTTAACTCTCCTGGTTTTTTCCCTCTCAACTGCAGGTCACCTGCCCATTCACCCCGATGCTTCAGACAGGGTGTGCCTGGCCTGGAATTACGAAGCTGCCCTGTCTGTCATCCACTCCCACCGGTGCGTGGTCTGTGTCCTTGCGGGGCACCTGCACGATGGGGGATATTGCCTGGACTCCCATGGAGTTCATCACCTGACCTTGGAGGGGGTGATCGAAACGCCCCCGGAAAGCAATGCTTTCGGGACTATTTATGTCTACGAAGATAAAATGATACTAAAGGGAAGGGGCAGAATTGCAGACAGAGTTATGCAATTCTGAAATGCCAAGTAAATACAGATTGCTCTTCAGGAAGGACTCGGGATAAAAACGTAGGGGATTCAGCTTACTGTTTGCTTGTAGAAAGGTGCATGGCTGATCCTTATTACTTTAGCTCAGGATACAGGATTTCAGAAATCACCTTTCTGTAAGGAAACAGACCTGATTTCTTTGTGGAAAATAGAGAAGGCCAGTAGTTGAAATATTGAATGCAGAATGTTGACTTGAAACACCTAATCCAGACTGGATTTGTTACTGTGAAAAGATGCGAACCATATTATGAATATTTTCAAAAAACCACCCACTGTTATTCTCTCGGTGAGCATTAAAGCATGCAGAGTTGTACCTGCCCAACCGCATTTCAACGTATTTATTTTCTGTGAACATCATAAGGCAGTAATGTCTCATGTCTGGCAGAATACACCCACCCTGTAGCCTAATGCAGCTTTCCAACATTGCTTTAAAAGACTAAAGTAATCCCCAGAAAAGGCTAAGCCTAAAGAGAAGGGAAACCATCTGTGCTACAGCAGGGAATGGTGCAGATACACGGGCAGGGACCTGTGTGTGCACAGTTGTGACCTCCTGCAGCAGTGCTGAGGGAAGGAGCCCTGACACGGGTCTAAAGGTGTTGCTGTGCTGCACCTGGACCTGTGCTGGCTCTGTCCCACCCAGCTCATATGTCCAGTGTATCCACCTGTGCTTCCTTCTCCAGGATGAGCAGCAGGACATGCTTACTGCTGCTGGGCTGCTGCTTGGGTTCTGCTTTCCAGGAAAAAGCCAGTGAGCAGCAGAGCTGTGACAGTGCCAGCAGAGTTGTGACGAAGCCCGCATCTGCTGGTGGCAGGCTCAAGTACACATCTCCCAAAAAATAAACTATATGGAGACTTTTGTTGAGTTTTCTTTAGAAAAATAGTGTTTATTACTCTGCAAAACTAGTGATTTTCAGTTAATAGCAAAAATAATTTTTCAAATATATTCTATATATCATTTTAGCACAGGAATAGAAATACAGACTGCTCAAATCCCAGTTAGTCTCAAATGGATTATCCAGGCAGGTATTTGGAAGTGCTATGGCTGTAAATAATCATGTATTGAAACAGTGTTTGCTTTACTTGTCCCTTATGTTACAGAACAGTAGATTTCCCAAAGTACGAGGTGGTTAGAGAGTGATCCAGGGATGCCAGGATATATACCATTAGAACACATTAGATCAACAGTGCTTTGAAAATGTAGGAAGCAGCCAGTTGAACAACAGTTTCCACAGAAAAATTCCCCATTCAGATTTGACAGTGTTCCTCAACTTTTTACCAAAATTCAAATGGTACTGCTAGAAGTAGCCAGGCATTCTTGTATCCTATCAAACTGACACTAATGTTTCATTAATCACCAAAAGCAAAGGCAAGTACAATCAGAATGTTTAGACTTTCTCCTACCCAGTTAAATCACTGTTTTGCAGTGCTCTGGCCAAGCCGCTCGCAGCTCTTTGTTCACATAAATGTACAGCCATGAAGCAAAGGGGAAGAGGGCGACCACAACTGCAGCGGCCAAGCAAACTCCTCCCAGAGGATTCCTATAAAGGAACAAGTGCAACAGAGCTACATTAAATCAGAATTGTTAAGGTTGAAAAAGACCTCCAAGATCATCAAGTCCAACCTTGAACCACATACCACCACACCCACTAAACCCTATCGTGAAGTGCCAGTCGTTTTTTGAACACTTCCAGAAATGATGACTCCACCACCTGGGCAGCCCCATCCAATGCCTGACCACTCTTCCAGAGAAGGAATTTTTCCTAATATCCAACCTGAACTTCCTCTGGTGCAACTTGAAGTCATTTCCTCTTGTCCTGTCCCTTGTTCCCTGGGAGCAGAGTCTGAATCTCCCCCGGCTCCCCCCTCCTGTCAGGGAGTTGCAAAGAACAAGAAGGTCCCCCCTGAGCCTCCTTTTCCCTAGGTTGAGCCCCCTCAGCTCCTCTTTGTGCTCCAGACCCTTCCCCAGCTCTGTTCCTTTCTCTGGACACACTTCAGCCCCTCAATGTCTTGTCTGAGGGGCCCAGAACTGCCCTCAGGATTGGAGGTGCTTCAGCAGTGCCAGCACAGGGACAGGCACTGCCCTGGTTCTGCTGCCACACTATGGCTGGTACAAGCCAGGATGTCCTTGGCCTTTGTGGCCACTGCTACAACTGCTATGAAACATTCACATCTGCCTGCAGCTGGAAAGACAGCAGGGAGCCTTTAGGCACTTTAATGTGGCTCCTGTGGATGCATCAGCAGAATCCTTTACTGGAGAGGCACCATGTGCCAGCAGAAAATAATTTTCTGACAACTCAGCTACAAAACCAAGTTGGGATAAAAAAAAGCATCTTATACAAAGAGAAAGTGTCCCCATTATGGCAGGGGAGCAGAAAAAAATGTTTCGTGTAGCCTTACATTTCCTCCCGCCCTGACTTCTATCTGTGTGAGATCCTCCAGACTGTAGCACCAGCTGCTACTGCTTGGGCATTTGAAAGGTTCAGAGGGTGACATGAAACAGAAAAACAAGCTGCCAAAATCAACTATGTGTTTTCAAGGACCTAGTCACTAAGTGTGAACATAGTAATGGATTTAAAAAAAAGGAGAAAATAAAACTTACTTTGCTGAACTGCGACAAAGACTCATCCATATTGTAATAATTACCAGACCAAACAACTCTCTAAAAAGCCAAATAAAAAATAGATCAGAAAATAATACAAGCAGATTTCTGTGTTCAGAGAATACAAATTTTACCTCCAAAACAAGTGGAGTAGCAGCTGCTCCTTTGGAGAAGTTCAATATATTTTACTAGCATTATAATTATAAAGGTATTTACAAGGAGTAACTTTGCATCACAGATCTACAGACATGACCTGGCTAAACAGCTGCAGAAATTCCTGCCTCCACTTTTTGCTCCACTGCTAGATTTAAGTTCCACAGCACATTTCTCTAATTAACACAGTGCAAACAGCAACCCAGTTTTCTAGACCATGAACAGCTGCCAGGGCTTCACCTCAATACAGTACAAGCACCTACTTTAGGCAACACCCAAATGTCAGGTGAGAAATCCTCCCTCCTCCTCAATCTCTGGCAGTTTGGAGGACTCAGCAGCCCATGCCAGATAAACATGCATATGGTATCACCTCAAGAGTTTTTGTAAGGTTAATTACCATTCCTGCAGCTCCAGCAAGAGAGTGCAAAGCTGTTTCACTGTTCATGTGTTCTGGACTTTGAAAGCCAGAACTGCCCCCCCATAAATCTACCTGCCACAATCAGGCAAGCAATGACTGCTCACTCTTCCTGAGTCCAAGGAATCACTGGTTTGGAGCATTATGGTCCCTTTGATCTGCTTCCTCTGGACCAACAGCACTCACTGCAACAGCCCAGCAAATAAAGTTTTGGAAGGTGACACCAGGATAAGATGGCCTGGTGAGCTGGATTTGGGCAGGGGCAAAGAAAACCCACTGTTTACCTGCCTTCCTCTTCGTGAAAAATGTTTCCTTGAGCGTAAGCAAACAAAGAGCAAGCCAAGGCAATGGTCCCAACCACACAGCCAGCAGAATGAAAGTCACACAGGGTCCTCCAAACACCATTATCTGAGGAAAAGAATACACTGTCAGCAACTACATGAAGCATGAAGTAAACCTATAAGTCTAAAAGCAATTGAGTCGCTAAAAAAAGGTGCCTTCAACACACACACCTTAGGCAGGAAGATGTCATTATTGCCAGTATCTTTATGACCAGAGAAATCTGCTAAAAAGTGCTGTGAAAAATAAATACTACTGGGCCTAGGAATGCAACTTCTCAGCATCAGAACCTCAATGAAAACTTTCCTGTTCTCTGCAGCAAACACAACAGGCTGCAGCATTTAATGTGCATGGAAAAAAAAAAATCACAAGGTGTATGGCAAATGGAAGTTCTCCTGAGCAGGAGGAACAGCCTTTCTGGAGCTCACAGCCAAAACCAGGTGCTCAGCACGACCCCAGGGGCCCAAGGGAGCCCAGGAGAGGCCTAGCCCCTAGGCAGCCACCACTGTGGGGAGCATCTGATTTCACGCTCCCTGAGGAGACTGCCTCAGGTGTTGCCTGATGATGATGAGCAACACTGATAACATCTCTGCCTGGGGACTGATGTTTTTAAACAGATAAATGAGATGATGAGAAATATCTGAATGGCCCACAGGTTCTTGTGGTTTTCCATGTCCCTTTCCAGGGGCTCCTGAGGGGGAGGTAAGAAATGACACTGACAGTTCTCCCTGATCTCAGCAATGTCAACAGCAAAAAAACTAAAGTTAAAAGCAGGTTTTCTGGGGCATTGACCCCTCTGGGCAAGCATTAAAGGTGATGAGCTGCCAAGACCCAAGAGCTCAGAGTGACCCAATGCTGTAATCAATTCCCCATTTGACTGAACTTACTGCAGCTCAGCACAGGCAGAATCTGGGTCTTCCACAGACCTGAATGGCAAATATCCCTTGATGTATTTACATAAATCTCCAGTTATAAAATAGTTGTGTCATGACAATCTTTATTTTCTACAGATCTTGGCACAGGTAAAACTCTACTTGAGAGCTTAACATGCAGATTCTCTTGACAAGCCAAATGCCATTATGTTGAAGCTACACCTATCACACATAATAAACCTCCCCTGAAATGTTCAAAACCACAAGCAAACCAACCCTCAGGGATTTTGCTTTATGGCTGCTTCCACTTTATATGCCTAAGGCAGCAAATGCCTGCAATGGTGTCATTTGTGACAACAGCATGCACTCCTGAAGGTTTTCTTTTTTGGTGTTAAATGCGATTTTAGTCTATTCAAAACAAGTATTCATCCAGAACAGATACAGTCACTTTGTGTATATAAAATGGCCTTATTCTGAAATTATTTCTACTGAATGAAAGTACAAAAAAAAATTAACTATGTTCTGGAGTCCAGAAACAAATCTGGCCATAGAATCATAGAATCAACTGGGTTGGAAAAGACCTCAGAGATCATTAAGTCCAACTCTTGATCCAACACCGCCATGGTGGTGGCACTGATGCCACATCCAGTCTCATCTTAAACACCTCTAGGGGCGGTGACTCCACCACCTCCCTAGGCAGCCCATTCCAAGGTCTGATTACTCTCTCTGTAAAATTTTCTTCCTAATGTCCAACCTAAACTTCCCCTGGCACAGCTTAAGATGGTGCCCTCTTGTCCTACTGCTGGTTGCCTGGGAGAAGAGATTGATGCCCACTTGGCTACAACCTCCTGTCAGGGAGTTGTAGAGAGTGAGGAGATCTCCCTGAGCCTCCTCTTCTCCAAGCTAAATAATCCCAGCTCCCTCAGCTGCTCCTCACAGGACTTGTGCT